TGTGGGGGTGCTAGAGACGGCAGCATGTTGATGCGACCTTCCTAGCCGGAGATATGGCCGCATTTTACAATAACCTTCTGTTAGGTCGCTTAAAAACAAATATCACAAATTGCAATCGCAATATTTGTCAGAAAAAAGAAAAAAATTCGATTTTTTTCCCCAAAATCGTGCAGCCCTGCTGCAGACCACTGAGAGGTTGGGGAGAATTGTAATCAGCACTTAAAGGGACCTCCTGCACAAAGCCCGGGTACTGTCAATAGCGATTGCATTTTTAAAATATCCCTGGATACTGGATAGTGAAGAATTAAATGGAGTAAAGCACATGGTACTTAACATTTGCTGTAGTATGAGTTGGCATTTGATGCTGACTATTTTTCAGCCCCTCCTGGATCTACACACGGATATGTTATCCTGATCACACCTGTCAAGTCTGTGTATACAACTCTGTCTGTTCATGTCCTCATCAGCAGACTACTGACACAAGTCAATGTGGAGGCTAATCAGTAGGGTGCTGTGTTTTAGAAATTAGGTGTCCCCTCTCTATCATTAAGCCACAGTCATTTTGTGAACAGCTTAAAGGTCCCATGTCATGCTTTTCCGGTTATTACCCGTCCCCTTGTGTGTTATGAAGGTTTTTCTGCATGTAAACGGTCTGCAGAGTCAAAAACCCTCAAAGTACACCCTGTAGCGAGTTAAACTCTAACACAGAAAAGGCCTGTCTATGCTGCCCCAGAACGCCTCGTTGGAGATTTCTCTTTTTCTTCCTGGGTACAGTGACGTGGCCATACCCAAATGGACCAATCCGTGGAGCCGTTACGTTACATCCGCGGAGCCGTTACGCTAAGTCCGTGGATTGGTCCAAATTGACCAATCCGCGGACTTCCTCACACACAACCTCAATCTTTTACCAGCTGCAGCTCCGCCGATTTCTCCTCCCTGAGACGGCGGGACAAGGCGAGGCTGTGAGTCGGTGTGTGTGTGTGTGTGTGTGTGTGTGTTCGGGCTGGGTTCAGCTGTGTCTCGCTGTCTTGCAGACGGCCACTGGGCTCATAGGGAGGGGGGGGCAGGAGCTCCAACAAACCGTTTAGGACAGAGAGTGAATACACATACTATACAGAGATGAGCTCAAAGCTAAATCTGGCACTGTTACGCTTGATACATTTTAATGTTTTAAGTGTTCATTACTGTGCATTGTCCCTGCCAAATAAACTATTAAATGAGAAAAAATGCTGTATGAGAAAAACCAATGCGATTTTGGAAAATTGCACAATATAAATCTATTTTAGTATACCTCAACAATGGAATTATGATCAGTAGAAATGGCCATTACATGGGACCTTTTAATACTGCAGAGAAGGTAAACTGATCCTGTGCACGAAGGGCAATGTCTATACCCTGGTCTGTAGTTCAAGCCCAGAGCTGTCTTTGATTGGTATGTGGGGCCATATTTGGTGATGGCAGGTATTGTTTTTTAACAGCACTCCTTTTAGCAGCCAACTTGCTATCTCTAAACCTCCTTGCCAGCCTTTAGGAAGGGGCTTCGAAATATAGGGGCACAAGCCAGCTAGTGACCTTACATGATAACTGTGAGGCTGCAATGCTGTACCAGCCTACACCTGGTCTTGAAAATGTTTCTACAGACTGCAAGAAGGGCCATGCACTCACAGATGGAGCTGCCATCATAGTGCAGGCCTATCCGTCTCCTGTGGTATTAAGCCTGCCTTCCTGGGCAGCACCATTGGAAGGGGAGCTGGGCCTACACGTGTCCCACCCTAGCTGCATATAGATCAGCCGTAATCCATTAGCAGCTCCCTGGAATCCAGCCGGCACAGCACAGCACTGGAGGGGCCAGGGGGAGAGGGTAGCTGTGGGTGGGGGTTGGGGGTGGAGGAGGAGGAGAGAGAGAGAACGAGGGATGAGAAGAGGAGGGGGTGGGGGAGGGCTTTTTCTCCTGAGCTTGCTTCTCTTCTCTGAGCCCAGCCCCCTTTTTTATGTCGGCCTGCTGGAAAAGCCTCCTGAAACCCCCCCATAAAGCCTGCAGAGGTGTGTGTATGTAGGGAGAGAGACTTGACTGATATATGGCTTC